AAATAATAATTGAAAATTTTTGTATCAAATAAAAGTACTTAAGAAAAACTTTATGTGGGAAGAAAAAATTTTTACAATTATAATTCATATCATTTTTAAATTTTTATTCAAAATTTATATAAAAAATTAAATTAAATATACTAAAAATAAAAGAAAAAAGTATTTATTATCAGTTAACCTTTAACCAATAATTACAAATTATTGTGCCAAATAATTCCTTAAAGGAATTCAATTTTTGACCACGGTTTTGGAGGGCACTGTACATTTAGTGGTGCACCAGCTTTCACTCTAGAAACAAAAAAGAAAAGGGTGGAATTGTGGAAAATTCAAAATACTTTCTTTTGCCTGCCAAATCATTTTGGTCCAACGTGGAAAAAATGTAGTTACTCATTCAAAGCACTTTATAAAATTAAATCATCTCAAAGTTGGAAAAATATGTTGCCGTGTCGTGGATGGAGTGTTTCATTCTATCATTTGGTGGAAACACTATTAGAAGATTTGAATTTCAACTTCAGCTCCTCATTTCTCCACCCCTTTAGTAATTGTAGATAATTATATTTATAAAAAAAAAATGGAAAGATTTATTTTTTTCATTTTTAAAATGAAAGTGTGTCCCTTGAGAGTTTAGCCATACCCTTAACTACCACTTATAAGCCTTTGTTTTTGCTGCTTATTAGGTCCATCATAAATGGAGTAGACAATTCTAACGCGTATGGTTTAGTGGAAGGGGACCTGTATAATATAAGGTAAGAATGCAATTAACAAAAACATAATGGCTTTGTCAAAAACTTAAATAATGTAATAGTAATATCTTTTAATTGAAAGTAAGAATTTATAGTTTTGAATCATATTGCATGTAAATGAGTGTGGATTAAGAAATGAACAAAAATTAACTCACATGATGCAATTTAAGATAAAAAAATAAAAACAAAAAAATAATGGCTTTTACTTTATTTATACAAATTTAGCTTGTATAAAAAATATATATATATTCTAATATATTCAAATGACAGAAAAAAGAAACTCTTATTATTTATTGCATCTTATTCTTAGTATTATTTTTGATCGCTAGGACGTTTGTGAAATAAAAGAGGTAGCAAATTACAAACATAGTTAAGACATCTTAATCTGGGTATTGTAGGCATCCTAGCTGAACTTCGATTTCTAATACTTCAATCATCAAGGATTGCTCCAAGCTTCTGAAGCTGCACAACAACAAACATGTATCAAATAAGAAAAAGCTAGTTAAAGAAATCAATTCTATGTTCAAATATTATCTTATTGCCTAATATTGAAAAAGGTTGTTGAACATAAGATAAGTAAATAGAAGGTTAAAACAAAAAGAAAAAGAAAAAGGCATTACCTTGTCTAGAGATCTCCCATCCACTCTCATAACTTATAGCAAAAAGGAAATATCCACCGAGCCCAAGTGACTTAGCATATCTTATTTTTGTGTTTACTGATGTGGCATCGTCATACCCAATCCAGGATGTTCCGGCGAAGGAATATGTGGATCCGGTGGCCGTGTCATACACCACCGTGGCATTCTTCTCCTTATTAAATTGCTCCACTTCGGTAAGTGTCAGCACCCCATCTGGTCCTGGGCCCACGCCAACCGCAGGTGATCCAATGTTATGTTGATTTGGGTCTCTGAGTGTCCAAGTCCTTCCATATAATGGAAGGCCCATGACCACCTTCTTCGGGTCCACACCAGCCTGGACCCATGAAGTAAGCCCATAACTTGTGCTTATGTTGCTGTTTGGATCATAAAGTGCTGCATGGGCCCCCGTTACCGAAGTATCCCAATTTCCATGATAGTCGTAGCACATCGCGTTGACCCAGTCCAGATTCTGATTAATGGATTGGACCGAGTACGAAAGCGGAACGGGCCAAAAAATCTTCACGGAGAAATTCACCGCCGCCGTGAGCAGCAGAGGAGCACGGTTAGTGGCCTCCGCTTCCGCCTTGATTGCTTGCCGCCATTCTTGAAAAAGACTCTCCAAATCTTGCATTTCTTCCTGCGTTTGAGGGTATTCCCAGTCGATGTCAATTCCGTCAAACCCCAAATTCCGGGCGGTCTCAATGGCCGAATTTATGAACGTCTGACGCGTTGTTTGGCTCGAAGCCATGCGAGCTAGGAGTGTTCGCGTGGCATCGCCTCCGCCGCCGATGGAGAACAGTGCCTTAACAGAAGGGGTTTTGTTGTGGAGGGTGGCTGTGAAATTGGAGAGGAGCAAAGCCGTTGAATTGTCGATCTCAAATTTGTACGTGACATTGTTGGGTATTAAAAAGGCGTAGAAGATGTGAGTGAAGAGAGATGTATCAACGTCCGACGGTGAGAAAGACCTCCATGAAGGATAGTAAGCTGCTTTAACCACCGGAGGTGTGGCGGCGAGACATCCAATGGAAAAAGACAAAAGAACTACAATGAAAAGGAACTCAGAACCGATTAGTCCTGCCATAATCTTGCAGTGCTCGGAGAATTGAGAGAGGTTTCAGAAAACCATTCCAGGTGAGAATATATATAGGTTGTGAAATTTTGCGATAATGTTTTGGAAATGTGCTTTGGCATTAAGAAATTAATGATGTCCCCCTGACTTCTGTTTTTGTAGGGTTGCGTGTCAGCATGAACTTGATTGATTATATGATATTGAGGAATGCTAGCTGCACTCGCCTTTCTCCAGCACTCTCCAACACTCTCTCATGTAAAATGTCCACGTAACAAAATTTGGCTCGCAATTCAAAGTTTCCAACTAAAAAAGTTCACGTGGCTACTTTAGATGAGGGAGTGTTGGAGAGTGCTGGAGAAAGGCGAGTGCAGCTAGCATTCCTCATATGGATATTACATCAAGGAGATGATGCTTGCGCGTTATTAGTTTTACTTTTAGCAAATATCTATCGAAAGTCCGCCCTAAAGCTTTTCCTGTTGTATTTTAACAATTAAAAATATAATATTTAAAATTTTAATAATAATGATTAATTATATATATGTTTTTTCAAATCCCAGGGGCGGCGACGCCCCCTGTCTATATATAGTTCCGCCCCGTTCTTCATTTATATCTTATGTGCAATGAGCTTCCTCATCTGTATAGTTTGGGTACAATCCGTATTCCTCGTTCACACCTCTTTCCTCATAAAGGTTTTAGTCAAAGTTTGCAGTTTTTTTTTTTTTTTTTTTTTTTTTGACAAGAATAATAGTTGAGAAGTTAGTTGATTAGTTATTAGCAATTGATTTTCAGATCGGATGAACATTTCACTTTCTCAAATGAAACATGCGACTATCAAGTCACATTTTGATGAAATTCACGACGGTAATGAAGTTTAAAACTCTAATCACCTTATTCAAACACTTAAGACTTGGGATTAAACCATTGAACCACAATATTCGATTCAAAGTTTGCAGTTTTATGCGTTGCACATTTCCTACTATTAAGGAATCTGTAATTCATCCA